CCCCCCCCCCCCCCCCTCGCTCCCCCACCGCTCGAGTCCCTGCCTCCCCTGGGGTCTTTGGTTCCTCGCACATGTGCCCCCGTGCCCGATTCTTACCGCTGCTTCACCCGCCACCCTCCCTAGCATTCTCACGGAGAGCGGAGACACCAGTCCGATCACCTTCTTTCTGGCTCATGCCAGCTTCCGCACCTCGCTGAAGCTCATCCCCGACTCGAACAATGTCAGGATTCAGTGGCGCCCCATGGCTGACGTCAATAAGATGTGCGTGTGCTCCCTTGCCTGGCTGATGGACCCCTTCTCCCTCCCTCTTCCCCTGTCCCCGGTGCTCACCTTCTCCTCCCCTCCTCCTCCTCCCCCTCGCCCTTTGATGTGCGCCCCCCGCGCCTTCTCCGGCCTTCTCAGCATTACATACAGCAATATTCGAACTCTCTTCGGGCAGTTCTGCTCGGAGATGATTGGCAGCCGCCTTCATGAGGGCTATGTTTTCTGTGATTTCAGCCCCGTGCGTGTGTCTCCTGCTGATCATCAGGGTCTTGGGACACTTTCTTTTCTCTGTCCCTCTCCCACTCCCTCCCTCCTACTTACCAACCCCCTGCCCCCCTCCCCTCCCCTTCTTCCCTCCCTTTCCGCCTGTCGTTACTCAGGAGGTTGACCAGCAGATTGCGAGCCGCACATACCGGACCAGCGCCTGTCGAGTGCGTCCTGGGGTTTGCCTGTCATCCTTGCCCCATTTTTCTCCCTCTCTCCCTCTCTCTCCCCCTCTCCCTCTCTCCCCCTCTCCCTCTCTTCCTCTCTCCCCCTCTCCCTCTCTTCCTCTCTATCTCCCTCTTGCTGACCGGCTTCCTCATGGCGACTTCTCCCCTGTTCGCAGAATTTCGATCGCTCCGGCGTGTGTACCCGAGGCCGGACCTGTCCATATGCCCACGGCCCAGGCGAGTTGCGCCCCATGCCACCCGGTCGGGGCCCATCCACCCGTGCCCCCACTCGTCCCCAGTCGAGCGCAGGAGCCAGCCATATGGATCCCTTCGGCTCACACCGGTCGCCCAGCCCCGGCCAGCCGCCCGCCTCCTTCACCCGCGATGGCCGTGACTCCTCTCGGGACTTCCGCGGGAGCGGCGGTAGCATCAGCAGCAGTCACCGGGACTTCCGCAGCGACTTCCGCAGCGACTTCCGCAGTGACTTCCGCACTGGCAGCCGTCCCGAGAGCAGCCGGGACTTCCGTGGTCCCATCGATGGCCGGGACTTCCGGGGTGCCGGCGATGCGCGCGACCCTCGCGGCGCGGTTGATGGCCGGGACTTCCGCAGCAGCGACGTCGGCCGAGACTTCCGCGGCAATGGCATCGACGGGGCCCGGGACTTCCGGAGCAACACCGAGACCAGTCGCGACTATCGGGACTTCCGCCACGATCGCCGGGACCTCCGGCCGGGGCGTGCCTTTTCCTCTGGCCACTCGCCGGCCGACTCGCCACTCAGCTCCAGCAACCATGCCCAATGGCCCTCCCCGGGCGCCCGGTCCTCCACCTCGGCGGCCAGCTCCGTCTCGGGCCCCAGTGTGGCGAAGGGCTCGTCTGCGGCCGCGATGTCCGCCCCGGCCACCCCCGTGGCACCCCCATCGGCCTTTGCCTCGTCCCCGTTGTTCCTGAATCTGTTGCCCACGACTCCCGGGGCCCGGTCCCGCCCGCCTCCCCTCCCGACGTCGGTTCCCCCCGGCAAGACCCCCCCATCGGGATCCCTCCCGGCTGGCAGTGCTTCGGCGCCTCGGCGCCCTGCCTCCGGCACCCCCCTGGCCCCAATGACTGGGGGGTCTTCCACCTCCACTTCCGCTGATGCTGCTCCTTCCCCCGGGAAAGCCCCCACCCAGCTGGAAACCCTCTTCCAATCCTTCAGTCTCGGGGGCACCGGTGCCCCCGCCTCCGGTGCCGGTGCCGGTGCCGGTGCCGGTGCCGGTGCCGGTGCCGGTGCCGGTGCCGGTGCCGGTGCTGGGTCGGCCGCCGCCGCCGCCGGAAACGACGACTCCACCGAGTCCCCTTCCCGGCCCTCGCGCCCTTCGCCAGTGCATGCCTCCCGCCGGCCGGCCACCTCCTTTGCACATTATCTGCTGGACGCGCGGACTCTCGAGTCGCCGAATGCCAACACCCTGTACCGGAACATTGCCGCGGCGCACAGCTCCTTTTCGGCCCTCGGTTCGGGGGCCACCTCTTCGGCCACGGCCCTCGGCTCGCAGGCCGTCCTCCTGGGCGGCCTGATCCAGGCCATTGTCTGGTCCGAACGCCGGAATACCACGGACAAGCCGATCCCCGGCGCCGGGGACATCCTCACTCAACGCCTGGACCTCATCCGGCGCTTCATCAACTCCCCCTCGTTGCAGATCTCCTTCCTGCTTGAGTTGGAGGCCGCCGAGGCGGCGGTCATTCCTCTGCCCCCGGCGGGCGCCTCGCCCGAGGAAGTGGCCGCCTGCCAGCGGAGTGCCGCCTTCGGCCTGTGGTCCGGCTCCAAGGAGATCCTCCTGCTGGCACACCAGCTCTACGATCAGGAGGTGGTCGATGAGCATGCCTTCCACTCGTGGGCCCAGCTGCCACCCATCATTCTTCCTGGCACCCGACCCGGCGCCACCGAGGGCGGTCTTTTCCGCCATGTGCTCCTGCGCTTTGCGGAGTGGCTGCTCATTGCCGACGCCGAAACCACCGACTCCTCCGAGTGAAGCAGGGTGTTGGGGGTTCCTCTTACCCTTTTCCCTTGACCTTACCCTTGATAGATGGGTCTGGTGCTCTCTCTCTCTCTCTCCCTCTCTCTCTCTCTCTCCCTCTCCCTCCCCCTCTCGTGCTCACACATATTCATGCATGCATGGATGTATATATATTTACATGGCCTCCGCATTTGCTCAGCACACTTGTCATCTCCCAATATTCGGGTCTACCACCTCCTCTTCCCCGCCTAGACGGGCCGACTTGGCTGTGCTCCTTCTGCGGGAGGGGGAATGGGAGGGGGCAAGTGGGGGAAGGAAACGGCTCTTGTGTGGTCATGGGGGTTCTATACTTCATGCGCGGGAGGGGGAGGGACGAGCAAACGGAAGGTCCACACTTGCATTTCCCATGGGATTTCGTGGCCCAGCACGAGACGAGGAGGAGCACACGGAAGTGAAGGAGGGGGGGGGGGGCAGCAAAAAAGGCCGACATTCCCGCTTCAAGTGGCACCCCTCTTCTAAGTCCAAATGTCCTGCACGTAACGCTGGCGCCGAGTCCACTGGAGGATGGCCGTGAGATTCTCGGCCACGGAGGCCTCATCTTCCGGCCCCAGCGGCTCCAGGGTCTCCTGGGCCGGGAGACTGTCGGCGAAGGTTCGAACACCGGCAAGCACGCCGGCAAAGGCCCGACGCACGCCGGTTGCCATGGCCGCGGCATCGCTGTGATGGACGGGAAAGATGTCAGCCTAAAAGCGTGCCTCAAAAAGGGGAGCCGGATGGCGGAGTGGGGCAACAAAAGACACCAGGGCAGAAGGAAACACATGGCAGCACGGCCTGGCAGAAGTGGAGGGACAAAGGGGAAGAACAAACCAAGCACGCACCCACAGACGTAGGTCCGCGCGGCGTCCGGGCCGCCATCGTCCGACAGCCCCGCGCCCAGCAGCAGCGGCTGGAGAATGTCAGCATCAAGGCTGATGGCATGGGAAACATGCGCGCCGTATCGAACAAACACCGCCGGATGGGCCAGCAGATGATGCACGGTCCCCAGCAGGGACCCGGCCGGCGCATCGGCCAGGGTCCCGGTCGGTGGGCCGGCCTGGCGCGACACCGACACCGACAGCCGGGTCAACACCCCGGCCTTCAGGGCCTTGAGCAGCACATCCGCCCCGAGGAGGTCCACATCCAGGCCCCGGCAGCCGGCATACATGACAATCGGACCGAAAACCGGCGCCCCATCAGGCCCGGCATTAAGCAACAGGCCGCGCGAGGACAGCGCCGCCATGCGCTCCTGCAAAAAGGCCAGGAAAGGAGCCACCCCGGTGCCCGGGCCGACAAGCACCAGCGGCCGACGCTCCTGCCCGGCCGGAGGCAGGCGGAAGTGCAACGACGGCTGGAGGAAGGCCGCCAGCTCCGGCATCGGCAGCGGCTGCCCATCATGCCCAGCCAGCTGGGACCAATCGCATGAGGCATCCAGCGCCCCGCCGGGGCGAACCTCGGTCCCAAGCTCCGGGCCCTCGACCAGCGAGGCCGGCTGCTCGGCGAAGGGCCCGGCCGCCAGGGCCCCGGGACCCCCGAGCAGCCCCTCCAGCCAAGTGGTGGCCAGGCCAGCGCGCGCGGCTCCAGCCGGTGTCTGATCGCGAAGGACATTGAAAAGAACCCGCACGACGGACCGGTCATTCGGCTCGGCCGACCGGCCAAACCCGGCCACCGAGTAGTACCGCGGCGTCAGCGGCGTGAGGATCTCAAGCAGCCGGGCCAGAGGAGGGCGACACTCCGGCGCCAGGGCCAGCAGATCCAGCACCGTCGGCCGGAAGTCCGCTCGCCAGGCATTATACAGCGCCACCCCGGAGCGGCTGGACAGGAAGAGGAGGATCCGCTGTGAGTAGGACCCGGTGGGGGCCTCGGCCGCCAGCGCCCGGATCGCCGCCTTCGGCGGCATCTCACGCAGCTCCGGCCCGAAGGAAAGCATGTCATGCGCGGTGGCCGGCGAGGGGACATGCGGCAGGGGGTTCTCCGCGGCGGCAAGCTCCTCGGCCGGCGCGGACGCCTGGCTCGGGGCCACCAGCTGGAACTGCTCGCGCGGGTCCACGCCAAGTCGCTGACACAGGGCAAGCACCAGGGACCGATCATTGGGAGCAATGATGCCCATGGCATCGCCCCCGCGCCAGCGGCTCAGGTGGGCATCATTGCCAGTCTCAAGGGCCGGAGCATGGCGCGGCTCGCCGGTGGCCTCGAAGCCGCCAAAACCGTCGCCAATGCGCAAGGCCAGCTCGATGGTCGTCCGCACGGCCCCGGGGGCGGTGGCCACGCGCGCGGCCACAGGGATCATGGTACCGAGCTCCAGATGCCGCCAGCGGATGGGCGCACCATCGGCCGGGGCCCCCCCGGCAATGGTTGGATGCAGTCGAAGGGCGCTCAGCCGTGGGGCCCGGCCAACAGAGATGGCCACCGACCGGGGAACCGCCAAGCGCGGCAAACCCAGCTTGGCAGCCCAAGCATCATGCTCTTGCTCCGTGAGGACCGGGTCCTCCGGGCGTGGGAGCCCCGGCAGGGCCGGATCAATCGGCGGCACAACTGCCACACCCATGGTGCCAGCTGGGATGTCACATGTGAAAGTGCCAGTCATCGGGGCGGCCACAGTGTCAGGGGAAGCCACCTCGGGCGTGGTGACCGCCGCCGCGGAGGCAGCATCAGGCTGAGCAGCAGCCTCGGTCCCGGACTTGAGCTCATCCTCGGACCAGCCGGGGGGCAGGGCCGCGCGCGCGGCTTCCGCCAGCCGCGGCCACATGTTAGCCACCCAGGGGTCCATGACGGTCTCGAGTCTGAGTGAGCAAGAGCGTGATGGGCGTGATGGGCGTGATGGGCGTGATTGCGAGAGTGTGTGTTAGTAGAGAGAAGAAGGGGGAAGAAAGGGGAATGGCAAAGGGACGACATTTTTACATACCCAGTCACCTCATCAGCCAGCCCGATGGGGCAGAGCTCAACCGCACCCAGCCGATCGAGACCCTTCTTGAGCCGGCGCCCACCGCCACAGAAGGAATCATAGTTCGTATCACCCAGACAAAGGAGGCCATAGGTGAGTTGGCTGAAGGCAGCCGGGCCGTGCGTGCGCTTGCGCAGGTTCCGGTAGAAGCGGTTTCCGTTGTCCGGGACCTCGCCGTCGCCGGTTGTCGAGCAGACGATCACCGCCAGATGCCGGCTGGACTCGGCGTTGCTACGGACCTGCAGATGCCCGATGGACACCCGGGCCATGTACGCAGAGAAAGGCCCAGTAAAATGCACGAGCAGAGACAGGGAAGAGGGAGCAGGGTGTCAGCCGGCCGGAAGGAGGAGAGAGAGATATATATAGAGGGGGAGAGAACACAGCCATGAGCGGCCAAGCACGGACCAGGGGAGAATCATCCAGCGAGCTAGTAGTGACCTGGTAGCCGAGGGAGGTAGCCTCGGCAGCGAGACCACGGGCGATGCTTTCGGCGTTGCCAGATTGCGACGCATACCATACATAGAGAGCCGCGTTGGGCGGCGGAGTCCGAGGGTCGGCGGTCATTGGGCCGAGTGGGGAGGGGAGGAGGGCAAAGAGGCGCGCAGAACACTCGGCGAGGGAAAAGGTGAAGGCGGAGAGGAGGGGGTGAGGAGGGGGGGGGGGGGGGGGGGGGATCCGTGACAATGACCCAAGAAGCGGCGGAGTTCAATTATTAAATGGGGGCTGGCGTTCAGGGGGGGGGGGGGGGGGGGGGGGGTGTGTGTCGTCGGTGGTCCGTGACATGGTGAATGCCGTCCCAAATGACAAACTAGCGGCCGCACACAAGGCCATACACACGGCCACACACACACGGCCATACACACGGCCACACACACGGCCACATTCTCGCCCACCCGGGCCCAGAGGCCCAGAGACTGCATGTTTGGCAGAGAAACACATGGTCATCCCCCGAGCGGTGGGCCCTCGTCGTGAGAGTGGCGAGGAGATCGAGCATGCTGCTTCTCCCGAGCCCGAGCCGCGGGCGGGCCTCCTCACCGGGGGGGACGTAAACCCGGCGGACCGGACGCGCGCGTGTGTGTGTGTGTGTGTGTGTGTGCCAAGCACAGGCAAGGGCTCGGGGGACCAGGGGAGAACGGCGCCCAAGTGCCAACCCATTAGATCGTAAACAAGGCGCGTCTTGTGCGTTGGCAGCATCCCACGGTCATGGCGAACAACTGAGACCCCTCCCTAGCTGCTTGGCCTCCCCGGGCGGCGGGGGGGCAGATGCCTGCCTACCCCCTCCCCCCTGGGCGCCAGGATTCTCAAGAGCCGCGGCGACCAGGGGACGTGGGATTCCAGCTGGGCTGCGCCCCAAAAGGGCGGCCGATTTGGGCGTCGGTTTGGTCAGGCATGACGAACACCACACGGGCCGGCGAAGGACCGCCGGTCTCGCCGGCACCGCAAGGGGCATCCCTCACCTCCTCCGCACAGGAGTTTCTGCATTTTCTCGGGAGGGGGGGGACCCCGCGGCAAGGTCCTGCAAATGACCGGCCTTCTGAGAGGCAGCCGAAGCGGCGAGGTGCGAGCCTTATTACATCTGTGGTCGGCGAAGGGGCTGACGGTGCAAGGGGGAAAGTCTTCTGCAAGAGGACTGGCGGCGCACCGACGAGCAGGATGCCGCTTCAAGGTTCTCCTCCCCCCCCCCCCCCCCCTTTCGCCTCCCCATTCCCTGCCCTTTTCTTGCGCCCCCTCCTCCCCCCCATTGGATGATCATGGTTGCCCCTGGTGATGAGGCCCGCCCACCAGCCCTGGAGGACATCCTGGCCTTGCCAGCTGACCAGGCCCACAATGCATATCACCACCTGACGCACTGGCTGCCCGATGGAGGAGCCGACCCGACCGATGCCGAGCTAGATGCCGTCCCCTATGACCTGCAGGATATTTATGCTCCATCTCTCTTCGGCAAGATGCTGGACCTGGCTGCTCCGGTCATCGAAACCGTCCCCCCGGTGAAGAACCGCCTGTCCACCGACAGCAACGTGCGCGCCAAACACACGCTTGTCCTCATTCGCATCCTCTCTGCCTGCATGGGATGCGTCAGCCTGTCAGCCTCCCGCCTGTCCGCACACAGACACTCACCCACATGTGCACGGGGCAATCCACTTGGCCAGCTCTTCCTCCTCCGACAGACCGGCCCACGCGACCCTCCCTCGGCCCTCCCTCTGGTTCTTCCGACGTGCGTTTCAAACGGCGCCCACTCCCTGGGACCACATGCTCCACAAAGGCCTAACTCCTGCGAGTGGACACACACACACACACACACACACACCGCGCCCCTTGCCCCCCTGCTTGTGCATGATGGTGCTACTCATGCAGTCATGCTCAGAAGGCCCTGGCTCAGACACAAGCTGCCAGGGGCCCGCTGGGCCAGCTGCGCGACCTGTTTGCCGATGAGGAAGCCCCTCCTGGGGTCCCATCTGGCGCATCTGAGGGCACTTTTGTCCCGGAAACGTCGGCCATGCTGCGTACTCTATATGCCTCGGGCAAGCTTTCGCCAGTGGACGTGGCCAAGGTTCGTGTGGGAAGGGCATCAGGGGGCGTGGTTCCGGTGCTTTTGTTGAGGGGGAGGCGGGTGGGAGGGCGGGAGTGGCCTCTTTCTAACCTGCTCCTCCCTGTCTGCGCGCCGGCCGGGAATCATAGTCCTTCCTGGCTCGTGCTCAGGGCTCTGCGGGGGAAAACCTCCGTGCCTTCGTGGCCATCAATGAAGCGGACCTGCTGGCCCAGGCCGAGGCATCTGCCAGCCGCTGGCGCGCTGGCAGCCCCCTCTCTCCGCTGGATGGAGTGCCGGTATGCGTGAAGGATGAATTCCGCCAGAGTGCCTATCCCTTGACGACGGGCGGCTCATGCGTCTTGACCGGGGCCCCGGGGGAGTTCGGCCTGCAGGGGGACACCCCAGGCTCGGAGGAGGCAGCATGCGTGGCCCTCCTCCGTCGGGCTGGGGCCCTGCTTGTGGGCAAGACGAACATGCATGAGCTGGGACTGGGCGTGACCGGGACCAACATTCACCACGGGACCCCGGTCAATCCCCGGGCATTGGGCTTCGCAACCGGGGGCTCCTCCTCGGGCACTGCCTCCGCCGTGGCGGCCGGGCTGTGCCCACTCGGAGTCGGAGCCGATGGCGGCGGGTCGGTCCGCATCCCGGCCTCCTTCTGTGGCATTTGGGGCTTGAAGCCGACTTTCGGCCGGGTTTCCGAGGCCGGGGCGGTGCCGCTGGTGTGCTCGGTCGGTCATGCGGGCCCTTTGGCCACGAATGTGGCCGACCTGGCCGCCGGGTACCTGGCCATGGCAGGCCCCGACCCGGCTGGCGTCGATCCGGTGGTGTCTCTGCAGCCGACTCCGCATCTGGCCGGGGTTCGCGCGGCCCTGCGTCTGAAGTCCGACACTCTGGCCGGCAGCCTGGCCGGCGTGCGCATCGGCATCCCGCGGCACTACTTCCGCCATGTGTTTGAGAGTGCCTGTGTTGAGGGTCCTCGCGCCTTCTTGAGGATTTTGCGCGATCGAACTGGCGTTGAGCTGGTTCCGTGCGCCTTGCCCGAGCTCGAGGAGTCCCGTGTGGCACACTTGATCAGCATCACCTCCGAGATGCAGTCCTTCTCGGATGCCTATGGCGGTGGTGCCGCCGCCGCCGGCATGGCCCCCAGCACGCGCATTTGCCTCTCCATGATGGATACGCTGACGCCGTACGTCAAAGCACCCGGACATTCCTCTCTTTGAGGTTTCCTCTCTTGTCTCGCCTTCGGCACCGCTGCTGCTACTGCTGCACTGCCATTGTGTTTGTTGATCATATTGTCCTTGCTGTTGCTGCTGCTGCTGCTGCTGCTGCTGCTGCTGTTGCTGCTGTTGCCGCTGCTGCTGCTGCTGTTGTTGTTGCCACTGCTGCTGCTGCTGTTGTTGTTGCCACTGCTGCTGCTGCTGCTGCTACCATCACTGACCATCCCATCCTCAATCGCCCTTGCAAACAGCACGGATCTTGTGCGGGCCCAGCGTCAGCGCACTCGTGCCATCGAATACCTCCGGCGCATGTTCGACGGTGACCCCACCGGAGCACTCGGCTCGAACCGGTACTCCAGTTCGGAGGATTCCAGCATGCCGGCCCGGCATCGGCCCTTGTCGCTGATTGCCTCCCCGGCCACTGGCATTGCGGCCCCGGACGTTCCTTACTCCATGGTTCCCGGTCGTGGAGATGCCCTGGAGGCCACGCCGCTCAGTCGGATCATGCGCTTCTCCTCCCTCGCCAATCTGACCGGCGTGCCGTCAATTGTGGTCCCGGTCGGGGTTGATCGTCAGGGACGGCCCTTGGGCCTGCAGTTGGCTGGGCGCTGGTGGGATGAGCATCTTCTCCTGCGCGTGGCGGCCGTTTGCGAGGCGCTCCTGCGGGATATCGGTCCGGCCCGGGATCTCCTCCCTGGCGAGGCGGACCCCCTGCCGGAGGAGGGCCCCCAAGTGCCGCTCAAGAATGGCGCCCCCCTTCCGGAGGGTGGCTCTGGCTGCCGTGTGGGCATGCAAGCCACCCCGGAGGTGTATCTGCCGCACTTTTCTCGGGCCTGACATCATTCCATCTTCTTCCCCCCTGCCCCGTTCTTCTCCCGTCCCTTTGCCTCCCCTCTCCCTCCCCCTCTTTTGCTCCTCCTTTGCTCCTCTTTCTTCCCGGCTGCGGCGGTAGGGCCCTGCATCCCCGATTCCCGCCCCTCCAACACGTTGGACGAACGGCGGACAGAGCACCACCAATGACCCCCCACATCTGGGCATCTCACATCTACCCTGTATTATTCCCATGTTTGAATCGCTGGATTGGATGGGCGGCGGGAGAGGGGGGGGGGGGGGGAGGGAGGGGAGAAAGAGTGGCATATGCGGCGACCAAGCGCTCGCTGAGCGGCGTCGAAAACACCCCTGGGCTCCGGGCGTACCGCGGCCCATACCATATGGAGCATGGAATTCAGCTGCTGTGGATCTTGCCCGTGGCATGGCCGCCTCGGGCGGCCAGGCGCCCGGCCAGGTGGATGGAAACACGGGCCAGGATTTGGGAAAAGTAAATCAGCCCCCCGCCGATGGCCATCAGCCGCACAAGCAGCCGAAGAGGCCCATCCAGGAGCGACGCGGTCAGGCGCTCGCCCACCGACGTGGACATCCCCCACAGGTTGTCCATGAGTCGGGCAGCCTCGCGGGAGGCATCAAAATTGCCCCCCTCGCGAAGATTGCTGCCGCTGCCACCGGCACCGCTGCTGAATAGCCCGCTAATCCAGGAGTCAGCCATGGACCGAGCGTACTGGTCGGAGATCATCACTCGAAGCGGCTCGGAATTGATGGACAACACGATGCCTGATAGGGATGGATGCCAACAGAAGTGCGTGTCAGTGGCGGCGGCTCATGCGATTAACCTTTCCATGCCTGGTGGAGGCCATGCACGTATGGCCGCCCGGGGACCCCTGGGGGTGGGGGGGGGGAGATGGGGCGAAAGAGAAAGCGGGCAAGTTCGGCTTGTCCCTGTGTGTCTTTATGTGTGCGGACTCTCGAAAGATCCATCTGCCTACCTGCGAAGCCGGTGTTGCCGGAATGCACATCCACCGGCCGGTGGAAAAGGTTGAAAGCAAATTGCGCCGACTGGACCATGGATGTCGGCCGGCCCTGGCTGGCGGCCGCGGCGAAGGGCCACACTTCTTCCGGGGAGAAGGTCAGACGACCAGTCCGGTCCCAGTACAGGGTGGGCACCACGTCCAGGAAGTACCGGTACATGTACTGGGCTGCGGATGGGGAGTTCCATTCGGGCGAGAGGCCACACGAAGGTCAGATCATGCCTCGGCGGAAGGGGCGCCCTACTTTCCCCTAGGGGAGGGGGCCGGGGGGACGGGAAGCTGGAACATACACTTCGGCGGGGTGGCCATCAGGCCATCCAGCTGGGCTTCGAGGTCCGGGAAGCGCGGGCCAAAAGCGAGGGCGTTAAACCGGTGGGTCATGTTCACCGGGCTGGCCGCCATGTGGCGCTGCGTGGCCTCTGCCAGGGGCTCCTCATTGGCCATGGATGCTTGGGGAATCGGCCGGTTGGCGGCCGGCCCGCCGTGCCCATGACCGCGGTGTCCCCTGCTTGCGGCCTCCGCATTGTCGCCCTCCTCCCGGCGGGAGTGTCGCCGCTCGGCCTTGGGAGCATGGCCATGATCGTGGCCATGATCCTGACCGTGCCCGTGGCCATGATCGTGCCCGTGGCCATGCCCGTGCCGGGCCCGGTTCCGACCGATGTGCAGATCCCCCATACCCATCATCGGGGCCATGTGGCCCCCATGGTCGTCGCCTCGGTCATGCCCCTGGCCTTGGGCCTGGGTGTGCTTGATGCCATAGAGCGAGGCCAGGTCGTCCATATGGTGCCCATCATGGTAGCTCCGATCGAGGATGGCCTTGCTCGTGAAGATAAGCTGAGCCCGAGGCTGCTTGGCACCAGGTGGCCCATGTGTCAGACGTCAAGGACGGTGTCAGCATTGAGGACGCATGGGGGGCCACCGACCGCCCCGAACGGGGGATCGCGCATCAAAGCTGCTCGGGCACCTTCTTGATGAATGTCTTCCCTCGAATGCGACAACCGCTGGTCGGCGCTGCCTGGAAAGAAACCACACTCCCGGACAGGTCACTGCCCTGCAGTGTGGCAGGCCGGGAGAAGTCGGCCGTCCGGGACTCGGGCGAAATGAAGATCTCCCCCGAGTGAGGGGCCAGGAAGGAGCCCTAATGGGGAGAAGGATCATGAGAATGCGCCCCGCGAGGCAGGAGCATGTGTTGACCTCGGCGCAGCCCAACACCCACGACGGGATGGTGGAAAAGGCAAGATGCGCGCACCGACTCCATATTGAACCGCCCGCTGATGTCCGTTGTCTCGCCGGTGATGTCTTGCGTCAATACGCCGACATCTTTTGTGTGCGCGAGTGAAAGAGGGAGCGAGAGCGAGAGAGAGAGAGAGAGAGAGAGAGGGTTACAGCGTCAGTTGCTACCCAAGGATGGACCCCTGAGCCTGCCGATGTATGGCTTGCCACCAAAGCGCACCTTGACAAGCGATGCCCATCCACAAGTCGATTGTCAAAGGCAGGTCCTTGTGCGTCGAGGTGTCGATCGAGTAGGAGTATGTTCGAATGACGCGGCCATACTCGTTCCACTCGTAGAGCCCCACCAGGACCAGGCACAAAAGCAGCCCGGCCGACACTGTGTACCGAGGAAGCGCGGTGAGTCAGGAGTGTGTCAGCCCTCCCCGAAGCCGGCCCGCCCGCCCGCCCGACACGTACCGAGTCCACTGGCGCGCGAGGTTTCTTGCACCGACGGGTCAGCCTTCGGGAAGGCGTCGAAATTGCGCAGGGCCCGGCGCTCACTGCCGGACACGGCCGGTGGCAAGGGCATGCCAGCGGGCCCGCGCCGGCGTCGGACTTGGTCCCGCTGCCGCCACTCATCCTGCACTCGACTGGCGTCCCAAGGGAGAATCGGGATGTCGGCCGGGGTGCTGGGGGCCGTGGTCATCATTGGGGAGCTCGTGTGAATGGCCGAGCTCCCACTCTGGAGCAGGGCACTACCGGTCAAGTCTCCATGCCCGAAGTCGATGCCCACCGTCAATGCGGGGCGGTTTGCATCGGGCTGGGCTGCTGCCCCGACGGAGCTCGCCTCGCTGGACACCAGCGAATCCAATGAGATCCCGGGGATCGAATGAGCATGGGACTCGAGATCAGCCATGTCCGATTACTTGTTGCTTGGTTTGCGTCGAGAGCAAGAAGTGATGTCAAGATATCAAAAGGGAAGGCATAAGCTGGCTTCCATAAAAGGGGGAGAAAGAAGGGGGGGGGGGGGGGGGCTAGTGGCGGCCGCTTGCCAGGCTGCCAGGCAGGTGTCTCTTCTGCCTGGACGCCACGCTGGGGCCCGGGCACCGTTTTACACGCGCGAGGGCGAGTCGGAGATATCCACCTGGGGTTAAGAGACTCCCCCGGTTCTTCCCCTCCCGGAGGGGTTTGGCGAGTTCGCACGGACGGAGGGGCGACCCAGAATCCCCCCCCCCCGCCCGCCCGCCCGCCCGCCTGACGCCCAAGAAGTGTCCTCGGTCGAACTCGATCGAGTGTTGTGGGGTAGCCTTTGCGGCCAGTGTCTCGCACGTGATTGCGTCCCGTGGCGCCGAGGAGGCCGCCCCTCATTCTCCCGCACCCACATGCGTATGCACACTGCCCGGCCGGGACTTCCAGCACGCATGTGCGTTTGTGTCTGCCAGTCCCCTGGCCCCTCCCCGGGGGGGGGGCTGACTGAGACTCCGACAAGGGGGCCCCAGTGGCAAATAAAGAAGGAAAGGATGCTCCGTCCGCTGGTCCTCCTTGGGCCTCCAGTGGGAGCACTGTCTCCGAAGGAAACGCGTGTGTTTTCGGGTGCTCTCCCGTCCTCAGCCCCCCCCCCCCCTGCAGGGAATGCGCAATCCACCCTCCCATCAGCCCCGGTAGACTGTATCCCTTATCGGCCGCCAGTCTCCAAGTCAGCCACACCCGCCCAACCAATCCGCTTCGCGCGCGCACACACACTCTCCTCCCCCCCCCCTCTCTTCCCTCCCCTCTCCCCTCCTCCCCCTTTGCCCTTTTCAACCCCAGCAACATGAGCACGGACACCAACATCTGGCTTCTCATCTCCGACGGCATGACCGACGAGGCCCTGGCCATGATCGACAGTGGCGCGGTCTCCGTCGACGAGAAGGACGACTACGGTTACACTCCGCTGTGCGCAGATCCCCACCCCATGACACCCCCGCTGTCCCCATTGCCAGGCCCATCTCACCACCATCGCCACGGCTCCCTGCTGAAGCATGGCCGCGGTCTCCTACAACAACATCGCCCTTTGCCGGCGGCTGCTGGAACTCGGCGCCAATTTGGAGGCGCGCGACCAGCGTGGTGCCACCCCCCTGCACTACGCCGAGTGCCTGGAGGCTTTCGAGTTCCTTAAGGCCGCTGGTGCCGACCTTACTGCCGTTGACTCGGCCGGCCAGTCGGTACGTGGCCCCACGCACATGCCGCTCCATGGCTGCTTCTCCCCCCCCTCCCACCGCCTTCTCACACACATGTGCACATCTTGAAGCCCATCGAATCGTACATCTTCACCGAAGACCTGGACTTTGTGGCAGATCTCCTGCTGGCTGGGCACTTCACCAAGGACCAGTTCACCCTGAGTCAGGATGTGTATGACGAGCTGGCCCGTCTGCTGCCCGAGGACAAGCTGGCCGACCTGCTGCCCGAGCCGCTGGACACCATGAGCCCGGAGATGACCGAGCTGCTGGAGCAGTTCCGCGCCAGCATGCCCGAGGGTGCCGACATGAACCAGGTCATGGCGGCCCTGTCCCAGATCCTGCAAAATGCCACCATCCTCGGGGAAGGCGATGAGGATGAGGATGGCGAGACTGGCGAGACTGGCGAGTCCACTGCCGAAGAGGCTGATGACAGTGGCGATGTCTGATGCCGGCGACCGGGCCACATGCCCTTGTGCTTTTGTCGCCCCAGGCTCTCGGGAAAAGAAGAAAATATACTGTTTCATGCCAAAGGCTCGGCAGGCGAGGTCGCCCTGCCTTTGTTTTTTTGTTTTTTTTCCCTTCCCTCTCTCCCCCCCCCTCCCACACACACACACACACACACTCACACACACGCGCGCGCGCACCTTCCCTCCCATAGCAGGAGGGAGCGGATGTCTCCACTGTCGTCATCGGCGGATCGGGGGCCCTACTGCTGATAACCGGGGGGGGAAATGACAAGAGAGTGACCACATTCCCCCGGGGGAGGACAGCCACGCGCCCGGTGGGATTTGACTGTCTTTGGCCGTCCAGGCTCGAGCATCAGGGGAACACCACAACGTGAGGAAAAGAGAGAGAAAGACATGGAAGCACACGAGAACCACATGAAAGCACAAGAGAATCCTGCGACAGCCAAATGACGGAGAAAGAGAGGGAGTCTATTTTCCGGTGAGGAATGATAGGAGGAAGAAGACCACAAGGACAAGAACCCCTGATACGTGCATGGTAGAAGGGGGCTAGGCAGCAATACACAAGGAGAAAAGAGAGAGAGAGTCTTGGAGGAGAGGGAGGAGGCAGGCCCCCGCCCCGTGGCTGTCGCTCGAGGGAGAGAAAGACAGGGAGGGAGGGAGGGAGGGGAAAAGAGGGAAACGGCGCAACAGAGGGCCCTCCTGCTGGCGCGTGACAGAAGAGAGACATAGTGGCGGGAGGAGCGAGGACTCCGATGCACGCGCCGCGCCAGGGAAAACTCAAGGACATGAAGAGGGCCAAAAGAGACCCGGCGCCCGGCGTCCGGCACATTGGCCGACGGGCGGGTGGGGCTGTGGCAGCATCTAAAGACGGAGGGTAATAAAAAAAAAAAGGCAGCTACGCGGACAACAAGCCGACCGGGGGCCGGAGGGAGGCGCGCGGTGCGCGCGAAGGAGGGAGCGCAATCGCCCGCCCACCTCCCCCTCATGCCTGGGCCAATGGCCGAGTTTCCTCGCATTAGCCCCAGATGGCGATGACAGACATGGCCGCCACACCGACGATGGCGCCGAGGCCGAGAACCACGCGCAGGACGGGCCGCTGGAAGTACTCCGGCAGGGCCAGCTCCTCGGTGAGCAGATGGACGAAGCCCACATACAACAGGATACCGGCCGACACCGACTGGAAGATGACATTCAGCAGGGCAAACACATAGCCGGTGCCCACGGTGTAGTAGAGGACCATGCCGATGCCGATGCCCACCGGAGTGCTCAGAGAGAAGAAGGCATTCAGATAGATGGACATCCGGCGGCTGACCTGGGTGCGGACCATGCGCGCACCGAGGGCCATCCCCTCGAAGTACTGGTGGGCCACAATGGCCAGGAAGAGCCCCATGCTGTTGGACAGACCGAGAGCCAATCCAACGAAGACCGAATGCAGGCACAGGCCAATCAGCATGACCCACATGCCGGTGATCTCCATGCGAGCCCGGGTGGCGGCATCCATGGCATGGCCATGCGAGTGCGAATGCCCATGCGAATGCGAGTGACCATGGTGGTCTCCATGCGAATGGTACCCGAGGGTATCATGGTGGAAGCCGTGCGAGTGATCATGATGATGGTGGCCACCATGCGAGTGGTCCGCGTGGAGATCGTGATGGTCGCCCTTCTCCAGGTCGTGCTCCTTGCCACTGGTGGCCAGCGACCCGGGCGAGTCGGCCTCCATGGCCATCAGGGACTTCTCCTTGATGGAGATGGCGGCCGTGGCGCTGGCCGGCGAGGCCAGAGACGACACCGAAGCATGCAGGACCACCGGAGCCGGGGCCATCGTCACCCCGACATCCTCGATCTCATCACAAGAAGAGTCATCACACTCAACCGGCTCGCAGGAAGAGTCGCAATCGACCGGCTCGCAGGAGGACACACAGTCATCGGCGACCTCGTCGCACGAGGGAGAGCAGTCAAGCTCGGCGACCGCCGCACCCTCCGGGTCCGGGCAGGCAGGACCGGCATCGCAGGCGGGCGTCGGATCGGGCTTGGGCAGGATCGGCTCCAGGACAATGGCCTCGGGCTCGGAAACGGGGACCACCGCTGGCAAGCTCAGATCATGGTGGTCGTGGGCACTGGCGCCGAAGATGCCGGAGTGCATGAAGAGCTCCTCCACCACCAGCGTGGCCAGGGCACCGAGCATCGTAATGAAGAAGACCCAGCTGAAGCCGTGGTTGTGGCCCTCATGCGGATCGGCGGCTTCCGGCCCGGAAGCCGCATGCGCCTGAAGCGAGTGGCTGTGCCCGTGGCTATCATCCTCATGGCCATGATCAAAGACCTCCTCACCGAATTCCAGGGCCTCCGGCAGCGAGTGCATCAGAGCCACGGCGATGACCACACCGGCACTGATGCCCTGGACAAACTTCAGGAAGGGGCTGCGATTGAGGCCGACCGTGGTGGTCTCGCCCTTGGCCCGGCGGCGGAGGTACGACATGATCAAGAAGGGGGTCATGGTGCCGAGCAGGCCCAGCAGGAAGATCAGCGGGATGCCGATGATCGAGTAAATGGGGACCGAAGGCTCATCATGATGGCCAAGACTGTGATCCGAGTGACTGCCATGGCTGTGGCTGTGATCCGAGTGGCTGTCATGGCTGTGGCTGTGATCCGAGTGGCTGTCATGGCTGTGGCTGTGATCCGAGTGGCTGCCATGGCTGGCCGATGTGGACATCGAAGCGAGCATCGAGCTCGCGAGGATACCGAAAAGCATGTTGTCTGTGCCGGCGAGGGAGGGGGAAAAGAGAGGGGAGAGGGGTTAGCCAAGAGCGGCACGAAGATGGAGGAGCAGGCCAAAACACCGGGCGGGGTGGGGGGGGGGGAGCAGGGGGGCGGGGCAAGGAGGGGGAGCCGGAGAGGGAGATGGTGGTAACGAACCAGGGGATGACCGAGAAAGAGAGATAACTCAGTGAGGAGAAAGGGAGTCCGTGGGGGAGGCCAAGAAGGAGGGAGAGGGAGAGGGAGAGAGAGAATAGGGGGGCTCTTGAGCCAACGAGGTGCTTTTCAGGTCGGTAGAGAAGCGGGAAGACGCGAGTGTCTCGAAGCCAGTGGTCTACTACGTGCGCATGTATGTCTAAATGTCAGGCAGGGGGATGCGGGAGGAAGGGGGTGGAGGATGGGTGGTGGATGGCTGCTTTCCATGGCCCTGCCAATGGGCATATTTATATCTCGGCCCCTGAGGCGCACCGGCTCCGGGGCCTGCTCCGCCCTTCGTCCAGCCTCTTCCTCAGCTCACGCGGGTACACCCCGCACACACAA